CCCCAAAAAAAAAAAAAAAAGAGCCAGGGTTATAGTTGGTAGCATGCAAACCCCTGGGTTTGATTCCCCAGCTCCATATAAGCCAGATGTAATGATGCACACCTGTGATCCTAGTACTCAGACGGTAGAGGCAGGAGAATCAGAAGTTCAAAGTCATCCTTGGCTATATAGTAAGTTCTAGGACAGCATGGAATATAACACCTTAACTAAAAATGTTTAAAAAAAAAAAACTCCAGGGAATATAGGACATGTAAAGCTCCACATGTGTGTTTCATATAAATTTTATTTTTTTTTTTTTGAGACAGGGTCTCCCTGTAGCCCCAGCTGGCTTGGAACTTGCAGAGATCCACCTGCCTCTGCCTCCCTGGGATTAAAGGCATGTGCCACCATACCGGCGGCTTTTTTTTTTTTTTTTTTTTTTTTTGTCTTTTTGAGTCAGGGTCTCCTTGTATCCCCACAGCTGTCTTGGAACTCGCTATGTAGACCAGGCTGGCCTCTGCCTCCTGAGTGCTGGGATCACAGGCATATGCCACCACACCCAGCATTCATATACTTTCTTGTATCTGGGTTTAAAAAGCAATTTTTTTACATTTATTTGTTTGTGTGTGAGAGTGTATGTATGTGGGCACACATGCCATAGCACTCATGTGGAGGTCAGAGGACAACCCACCAGTGTCAGTCTTCTCTATCCACTAAGAGTTCTCTGGGTATGGAACTCAGATCATCTGACTTAGGAGTAAGAGCCTTTATCTGCTGAGCTGTTTAGCCCTCCTTGTATATTTGTTTATTTTTTATTTATTTGTTTGTTGAGATGGATCTCCCTGTAGTCCCAGCTGGCATAGAACTCACTATGTAAACCAAGCTGGTCTTGATCTCACAGAGATCCTCCTACTCCTGCCTCTTCAGAGTGCTGGATTAAAGGTATGTGCCTCTGTGAGCTCCATTTCTTTGTCATTGCCTGGTGCCATCCACTCCCCTGCAGGGTGGGTATGACCCTTGCCTTGCTTCTAACCAAGAGAAAAAGGCAACTGGGATATGTGCGATTATGTGTCTCTGATTATTAGATAAGATTTCATGTCCACCTTTAAAAAACTTTTTTGTGGCTGGGTGTGGTGGTGCACGCCTTCAATCCCAGCACTCAGGAGGCAGAGGCAGGTGGATCTCTGTGAGTTCAAGGCCAGCCTGGTCTACATATTGAGTTCCAGGACAGCTGGGGCTACAGAGAGACCCTGTCTCAAAAA